GAATTATTACCTTGACCATGCTTAAAGAGATATTCTACGAACGGGTTGGTCAAAACAAGCACTGTGATTGGTTGAGTTGCATTCTAAGCCATACTAAAAAACCTGTTTAGCACGGGTAAGCCTATGACGCAAAAATGGGCATCTTGTTTTCTGTTCCATCTGACAAATCCCTGCGCATCCAGTGTCCCATCAGCTCAGCCAGGCAATTCATTAACTTGATCTCCACTATAAAAAGCATCTAGACATTATTTCCCCTTGCTTATAGCCTAACATTTGGTTTGCAATAACGGGGGTTTGTACAAACGTTGCTGTCTGTCTCTCGACATTTGCAACATTGTTTCAATATTGAAATTCGATCTCCACTGTCCTATTGAGAATGAACGTGTCAGGACGAGACAGACGTCTTCTCTCAGCCAGTGGAAATCATGAATCAGCATCATTTTTATGGTTATACAATTGAAAAAACGCAGCACGGCCGTGCCAAATAAGTTGTTTAGCACGTCCTCTCGTGTACGATTGCTTTATTCAATGTCTGATTTGTTATTGTTACCCATCTACCAATCACTGCCCTTTCGAAAAGCTCCCTGGTCTTTGTAGTTGAATCTGTGCTTGAAATTCAATACGTGACTGAGGGACCTTACAGATCGTATGTATGGGGGACAGAGGAAGGATTAGTCATTCAAACATCATGTCAACCCCATGAAACTTATTATGTGTTTTTTTTTAAGGCACATTTTACCCCTGAACTAATTTAGGCTTGCCTAAACAAAGAGGCTGAATACCTATGCGACAACTATATTTTAGCATTTTAATTTATATTAATCTTTAAACACATTTAAATGTTTTCTTCCACTTTGACAGAGTATTTTGCGTAGATTGTTGACAAAAATTACAATAAAATCTATTTTAATCCAACTTTGTAACACAATAAAATGTGAAGAAATCTGAATACTTTGCAAGGCATCTCTTTGTCTAGTCAAGTAGGTTCTATCTCTTTTGAAAACAATATCTGTCAACGGTGAGCCAGTTATTATTGAGTGAGCACCAATGCAAATAACAACTTGGTTAACTGGCTGATGAATCATTACTAGAGGACATGGTTTGAAGTGCCACAGATGGTTGGGATAAATGTCTTACCTTGAGGCCACAGATTCTTCTTCTTGTTCATGCTGAGGCATGTCTAGAACAACGCAGCAACACTGAGTAACTGAGTCCCCATTATGAATCCATGATCTGGTATTTCTTAATTTGAGAATTCATGTCGATAGCATGAGTTGGTATAGTTTTTTTCATGTCATGGCCTGCAACAACATTATTTATGGTTGTGTCAGGGTTTGACCTCTAAAAGTCTATTTAGAAGACCATTTCTCAGACTGGTCCATAAAAAGCAACCAGCTAAGCTGTTCGACAGAGGACCATTTGCAACAGTACTCACCCCCTCTCGTTTTGGAGGGTTGTTGTCAGGGAATGGTTTTCCTAGCAACGCAGTGCAGAAATGCTCATACATATGCAGGAGGTACGGTCCATGAGTACTGCTGGGAATCAGGAGGTACAGTCCATGAGTACTGCTGGGTATCAGGAGGTACGGTCCATGAGTACTGCTGGGTATCAGGAGGTACGGTCCATGAGTACTGCTGGGTAGAGCTGGGCCATATGGAGAAAAATCCATATCGCGAGAAATTGCCTGAATTGATGCAATAACGATAACTAGAACGATAAGTATGTGACTGTTCACCACAGTTTATTATCGTTTAAACTACTACTACTAGCTTGATGGTTGTAGCCATCAATTGTCTCATTATCAATCACCCAAATTAGCAAACCTATTTAATTTCAAGCTTCACATTTCTCTAGCATAGACTACTTATCGTAATGAACGATATCTACAAAAGTGATCAGTATGTTGGTGTTGATAATTTTCGGTTTATCGTCACAGCTCTACTGCTGGGTATCCACTCCACTCCTCACCACCAACCAACCAATCACACTCCACTCCTCACCACCAACCAACCAATCACACTCCACTCCTCACCACCAACCAACCAATCACACTCCACTCCTCACCACCAACCAACCAATCACACTCCACTCCTCACCACCAACCAACCAATCACACTCCACTCCCATCCTCACCACCAACCACCAATCACACTCCACTCCTCACCACCAACCAACCAATCACACTCCACTCTTCACCACCAACCAACCAATCACACTCCACTCCTCACCACCAACCAAACCAATCACACTCCACTCCTCACCACCAACCAACCAATCACACTCCACTCCTCACCACCACCACCAATCACACTCCACTCCTCACACCAACCAACCAATCACACTCCACTCCTCACCACCAACCAACCAATCACACTCCACTCCTCACCACCAACCAACCAATCACACTCCACTCCTCACCACCAACCAACCAATCACAAACCATCAAGAGGTACAGTCCATGAGTACTGCTGGGTATCCACTCTACCCCTCCACCCTTCACCACCAACCAATCCCACTCCACCCTTCTTCACCCTCACCACCAACCAATCACACTCCACCCTTCTTCACCCTCACCACCAACCAATCCCACTCCACCCTTCTTCACCCTCACCACCAACCAATCACACTCCACCCTTCACCATCACCACCAACCAATCACACTCCACCCTTCTTCACCCTCGCCACCAACCAATCACACTCCACCCTTCACCATCACCACCAACCAATCACACTCCACCCTACACCATCACCACCAACCAATCACACTCCACCCTTCACCATCACCACCAACCAATCACACTCCACCCTACACCATCACCACCAACACCAATCCACTCCACCCACCACATACACCAAACACAACTCACACCCACCCCTCAACCATCACCACCAACCAATCACACTCCACCCTACACCATCACCACCAACCAATCACACTCCACCTCACCACCAACCAATCACACCCACCCTCTCACCACTCGCACCAACCAATCACACTCCACCCTTCCACCCATCAACCCACACAACCAATCACACACCCACCACCCTCCACCATCCACCACCAACCATCCACACTCCAACCCCTCCACCACACCACCACACCACCAACCAATCACACCCACCCCTCCACCCTTCACCATCACCCACCAACCACTCCACACTCCTCACCCACCCCATCACCACCAACCATCACACCCACCACCACCATCCACACCACCAAGCACACCACCCCACACACACCACCAACCAACACAACCACACCCACCCCTTCACCATCACCCCAACCAATCACACTCCACCCTCCACCTCACCATCACCACCAACCAATCACATCCCCACCTTCACCATCACACCACAACCACACACACACACTCCACACCCCTCCATCCTTCACCCTCACCACCAACCAATCACACTCCACCCCTCCATCCTTCACCATCACCACCAACCAATCACACTCCACCCCTCCATCCCTCACCATCACACAACCAATCACACTCCACCTCACCATCACCACCAACCATCACCCCTCCTCCTTCACCTCACCACAACCAATCACACTCCACCCCTCCATCCTTCACCATCACCACCAACCAATCACACTCCCCACACCATCACCACCAACCAATCACACCCACCTACACCCTCACACCACAATCACACCCCCATCACCACCACCAAACACACTCCACCCCCCATCTCACCATCACCCACATCACACCACTCAACTCACACCACCAACTCACCACCTCACCACCCCTCCCACCTTCCCATCACACCACCAACCAATCACACTCCACCCTAACATCCACCAACCTCACAACAACACCAAAATCACACTCCACCTACAACCATCACCACCAACCAATCACACTCCCACCCTCACCATCACCACCAACCAATCACACTCCACCCCTCCATCCTTCACATCACCACCAACCAATCATCCACTCCACCCTCACCATCACCACCAACCAATCACACTCACCCACACCCTACCACCCCAATCACACTCCACCCTCCCCTCCATCCTCCCCTCACCACCAACCAATCACACTCCACCCACCATCCCACACCAATCCCTCCACCCTACACCATCACCACCAACCAATCACACTCCCCCCTTCCCACCTCACCACCAACCAATCCCACTCCACCCCCCACCTCACCATCACCCCAACCAATCACACTCCACCCTACCCTCTCACCACCAAACCCATCACACTCCACCCTTCCAACCATCACCACCACCACACCACTCCACCCTCCACAACCATCCCCCACCCTCACTCACCCTCTCCACACCTCACCACCACCAATCACACTCCACCCTTCACCTCACCCCAACCATACACACTCCCCCTCCATACCCCAACGCAACACATCACCCTCTCCCACACACACCCTCACCAACACTCCCCTCCACCCATACCCCAACAACTCCCTCACCATTTCCCCAGACTCTCACCCCCCCTTCCGCCGAGTCCCCAAGACGCTCCACCCTGATCCCACACTGACTACCCTACCCCGACCCCCCGCCAGTACCCCAACCCCACCGACCCCAGACTCCACCCTTGGGCCCCACTCCTCCCCTTTTACCCATAACCCATCCCATACATCCCACCAGGAACCTGATTCCCCTGCTCCCTACCCAAATCTCAGCCTTGGGGAGGGTTACCCCAGAGGACTGCCTGCACGCCTTGGGGAGGGTTACCCCAGAGGACTGCCTGCACGCCTTGGGGAGGGTTACCCCAGAGGACTGACTGCACGCCTTGGGGAGGGTTACCCCAGAGGACTGCCTGCACGCCTTGGGGAGGGTTACCCCAGAGGACTGACTGCACGCCTTGGGGAGGGTTACCCCCCAGAGGACTGACTGCACGCCTTGGGGAGGGTTACCCCAGAGGACTGCCTGCACGCCTTGGGGATGGGTTACCCCCAGAGGACTGACTGCACGCCTTGGGGGAGGGTTTACCCCCGAGGACTGACTGCACGCCTTGGGGATGGGTTACCCCAGAGGACTGCCTGCACGCCTTGGGGAGGGTTACCCCAGAGGACTGACTGCACGCCTTGGGGGAGGGTTACCCCAGAGGACTGACTGCACGCCTTGGGGAGGGTTACCCCAGAGGACTGCCTGCACGCCTTGGGGAGGGTTACCCCAGAGGACTGACTGCACGCCTTGGGGAGGGTTACCCCAGAGGACTGACTGCACGCCTTGGGGAGGGTTACCCCAGAGGACTGCCTGCACGCCATTGGGGAGGGTTACCCCAGAGGACTGACGGCACGCCTTGGGGAGGGTTACCCCAGAGGATGAACTGCCACGCCATGGGGAGGGTTTCCCCAGAGGACTGAACTGCACGCCTTGGGGGGGGTTACCCCAGAGGACTGACTGCACGCCTTGGGGAGGGTTACCCCAGAGGACTGACTGCACGCCTTGGGGAGGGTTACCCCAGAGGACTGCCTGCACGCCTTGGGGAGGGTTACCCCAGAGGACTGCCTGCTATAAGCTGGTCCTGATAGTGCTGCAGCAGCATGACAGGTGAGAAAGCAGTATACAGCAGCGGTAGTACCAATGCAGAGTGGTACTTTGTGGGTCAGCTATGGGAAATCAGAGCTGAAGCTCTAGAGTGGACTAAGCACAAATGATTGGGTGATTTAATGGGCTTTAATACATGCTATGGCAGAAGAAGAACGTGATTGTGTGTGTGTGTGGATGTCGGAGTGTGAACAATCCTGTATAGGGCGTGGAGCTGTACCCGGCCCACGCTGTATCTGGAAACTAGCTAGCTAGCTAGCTAGCTAGCTAGCTGTCTGTCTGTCTGTCTGTCTGTCTGTCTGTCTGTCTGTCTGTCTGTCTGTCTGTCTGTCTGTCTGTCTGTCTGTCTGTCTGTCTGTCTGTCTGTCTGTCTGTCTGTCTGTATGTCTGTCTGTCTGTCTGTCTGTCAGTCTGTCAGTCAGTCAGTCAGTCAGTCACTCAGTCACTCAGTCACTCAGTCACTCAGTCACTCAGCTGCACTGATGTAGCAGGCTGGATTAATGACTTGATAATGATGACTGCTGAATTCCCTGACTGATGTATTGCTGTTTACTATATACTATAGGGTCAGTGACACATGAACACCGCTGTACAGTTCTTCCCATCCCTATGTGGAATACACCCATGTGACAATCCCCGGCTGTAGGAGACATGTCTCAGGGGACAGACTATAGCTACAGTCCAGGACAGCTACACACTGCAGCCAGCATGGGGCTTGGGCTACATGGTAACACGTCTGGCCCTTCCCTTCTACTCAAACACACCTGCTGTGGCCCAAATGGCACCCTATTCCTGACATGGCGCACTGCCATTTGTGACGCACCTGGGTTATTATGGAACTGTATGGCCAGAGAGTGTAGTATAATATCAATGACATGTAACTAAGACTGCCCTGGTGTCACACTGCATGGATTTACATGACCATGCTTACTTGCTCAGCCGATAATGCCCCCCCCCCCTGCGGTATTATGTGATATTAATGTGATGTAAAGCTGAGAGAGCAGAGCGGGTGGGGTGTAATTAAAAACATCAAAAGGCTGCACATGTGGACAGAGAGGGGTCAGCGGGAGTTTCCCCTCCATAGTGGGGAGATGGAACGTCCAATCGGTGACATCAGCGGTGCGTCCAGCAGAGTAGGGAAGATAACAGAGCATCTCTCCCAGCTGGGTCTCTGGGAAGTGGCTGTTTCCCTTTGATGTGTAAACCTTGTCACAACAAAGGTTCTCTCTTTGCACACTTTCTTTCAGACTGACTTAAACCTCCTGAACCCAACACAACGTTTGTCACTTGAATATGAACCTCCTGGTGAGTTCACTAACAGGAAGAAGAGTGAAGGTTGATTGTTCCAAAGTGCCTTCGCCAGGTCAAAGGGTGTCTAAAGTGAGACAAAACTCAGAGCCATGATGGACAGTTAGGAGAGACAGGGAAGGCTGAAGGGAAGGATAGTAGTTGTGCTTACAGACAGGCACAGGGGAGAGGGAATGGGGCTGGAATTTATACAAGCCAAATGCTGGACATTTTAGATGCCAATGCATGAGTTCACTTTACAGGCCCACAATACCTCTCTACTCCAGACCCCACAATACCTCTCTACTCCAGACCCCACAATACCTCTCTACTCCAGACCCCACAATACCTCTCTACTCCAGACCCCACAATACCTCTCTACTCCAGACCCCACAATACCTCTCTACTCCAGACCCCACAATACCTCTCTGCTCCAGACCCCACAATACCTCTCTACTCCAGACCCCACAATACCTCTCTACTCCAAACCCCACAATACCTCTCTACTCCAGACCCCACAATACCTCTCTGCTCCAGACCCCACAATACCTCTCTGCTACAGACCCCACAGGAGTCACCACAGGCTGTAAATCAGGGATATTCAACTGGTGGCCCGCGGGCCAGATCCGGCCCGTTTATTAATTTAGACTGGCCCTTTGATCAATTCTGAACATTAATAAAAGATCTGAAAAAGAATCCCTGCCAAAATCCGACGTTCAGTACCAAACTGACAAGCACTATCTATGGTGGTTGTCTATAGTGTGGTTTCTAGTGGTTTCTAGCGGTTTCTAGTGGTTTCTAGTGGTTTCTAGCACCTATGTGGCATGTTGATGAATTTCTCTTCATATGAATTTGGCTCTAGTGTTTGAACGGTTTAAGCTACAAAATATTATGACCCCATTCCTGAAAACTACGACTCTAAGGAACACGTACACTACCAGTCAAAAGTTTGGACACACCAACTCATTCAAGTATACAGAAGATAGCCCTATTTATTAAAAGACCAAGTCCATTTTATGGCAAGAACAGCTCAAATAAGCAAAGAGAAACGACAGTCCATCATTACTTTAAGACATAAAGGTCAGTCAATACAGAACATTTCAAGAACTTTGAACGTTTCTTCAAGTGCAGACGCAAAAACCATCAAGCGCTATGATGAAATTGGCTCTCATGCGGACCACCAAAGGAATGGAAGACCCAGAGTTACCTCTGCTGCAGAGGATACGTTCATTAGAGTTACCAGCCTCAGAAATTGCAGCCCAAATAAATGCTTCACAGAGTTCAAGTCACAGACACATCTCAACATCAACTGTTCAGATGGGACCGTGTGAATCAGGCCTTTATGGTCGAATTGCTGAAAAGAAACCACTACTAAAGGACACCAATAAGAACAAGAGACCTGCTTGGGCCAAGAAACACGAGCAATGGACATTAGACCGGTGGAAATTTGTCCTTTGGTCTGGAGTCCAAATTTGAGATTTTTGGTTCCAACAGCATGTGTAGTTCCCACCGTAAAGCATGGAGGAGGAGGTGTTATGGTGTGGGGGTGGTTGCTGGTGACACTGTCTGTGATTTTATTTAGAATTCAAGGCACACTTAACCAGCATGGCTACCACAGCATTCTGCAGCGACACGCCATCCCATCTGGTTTGGGATAAGTGGGGTTTTTCAACAGGACAATGACCCAACACACCTCCAGGCTGTATAAGGGCTATTTTACGAAGAAGGAGAGTGATGGAGTGTTGCATCAGATGACCTGGCCTCCACAATCCCCCGACCTCAACCCAATTGAGATGGTTTGAGATGAGTCGGAAGGCAGAGTGAAGGAAAAGCAGCCAACAAGTGCTAAGCATATGGGGGAACTCCTTCAAGACTGTTGGAAAAGCATTCCAGGTGAAGCTGGTTGAGAGAATGCCAAGAGTGTGCAAAGCTGTCATCAAGGCAAAGGGTGGCTATTTGAAGAATCTCAAATATAAAATATATTTAGATTTGTTAAACACTTTTTTGGTTACTACATGATTCCATATGTGTTATTTCATAGTGTTGATGTTTTCACTATTACTCTACATTTTTTTTTTTTTTTTTTTTTTTCACCTTTATTTAACCAGGTAAGCCAGTTGAGAACAAGTTCTCATTACAACTGCGACCTGGCCAAGATAAAGCAAAGCAGTGCAATAAAAACAACACAGAGTTACATATGGGGTAAAAAAACATAAAGTCAAAAATACAACAGAAAATATATATACAGTGTGTGCAAATGTAGCAAGTTATGGAGGTAAGGCAATAAATAGGCTATAGTGCAAAATAATTACAATAGTATTAACACTGGAATGCTAGATGTGCAAGAGATTATGTGCAAATAGAGATACTGGGGTGCAAAAGAGCAAAATAAATAACAATATAGGGATGAGGTAGTTGGGTGGGCTAATTTCAGATGGGCTGTGTACAGGTGCAGTGATCGGTAAGGTGCTCTGACAACTGATGCTTAAAGTTATTGAGGGAGATAAGAGTCTCCAGCTTCAGAGATTTTTGCAATTCGTTCCAGTCATTGGCAGCAGAGAACTGGAAGGAATGGCGGCCAAAGGAGGTGTTGGCTTTGGGAATGACCAGTGAGATATACCTGCTGGAGCGCAGACTACGGGTGGGTGCTGCTATGGTGACCAATGAGCTAAGATAAGGCAGGGATTTGCCTAGCAGTGATTTATAGATGGCCTGGAGCCAGTGGGTTTGACGACGAACATGTAGTGAGGACCAGCCAACAAGAGCGTACAGGTCACAGTGGTGGGTAGTGTATGGGGCTTTGGAGACAAAACGGATGGCACTGTGATAGACTACATCCAATTTGCTGAGTAGAGTGTTGGAGGCTATTTTGTAAATGACATCGCCGAAGTCAAGGATCGGTAGGATAGTCAGTTTTACGAGGGCATGTTTGGCAGCATGAGTGAAGGAGGCTTTGTTGCGAAATAGGAAGCCGATTCTAGATTTAACTTTGGATTGGAGATTCTTTATGTGAGTCTGGAAGTTGAGTTTACAGTCTAACCAGACACCTAGGTATTTGTAGTTGTCCACATACTCTAGGTCAGACCCGTCGAGAGTGGTGATTCTAGTCGGGTGGGGCGGGTGCCAGCAGCGTTCGATTGAAAAGCATGCATTCAGTTTTACTAGTGTTTAAGAGCAGTTGGAGGCTACTGAAGGAGTGTTGTATGGCATTGAAGCTCGTTTGGAGGTTTGTTAACACAGTGTCCAATGAAGGGCCAGATGTATACAAAATGGTGTCAAAATAATGACACCATTTTTAACAATGTAAAAATAGTCAAAATAAAGAAAACCCTTGAATGAGTAGGTGTGTCCAAACTTTTGACTGGTACAGTATGTGCCTTAAGGACTCTTTAGAAGGGAGTGTGACGGAAATTAATTCAACGCAAACTTCCTTCAGACTGGAATTTGGCATTACCTGATTTGGCATACAGTATCTTTGTGTTATTTATTGAGATGCTTAGTTTTCAGATTATTTAAAAATGACCTAATTACTTTTAAGAAACTTTTAATACTTGTTTAAATAAATTATGGTGAGCCTTTTTCCTTTTCAATGATGATCAAATGTTTTGCTTGCACCTTAACTCACATTGGTTAAGCACCCTCCATCTCTTTCCTAATTAATTTTAGCAGCATTTAAATTTTAAGAAAGGTGCTTTATTGGTCGTTGTGTGTTGCTTTTTTATACAGTTTTAAATAATAATCATCACGTGGAAAATGTACGGCCCTCCTGCAATTAACCTTTTTTTTACATCTGGCCCCAGTAAGAATATAGTTGAATAGCCCTGCTGTAAATACTACATTTACATTTTACATTTTAGTCATTTAGCAGACGCTCTTATCCAGAGCGACTTACAGTTAGTGAGTGCATACATTATTATTATTATTTTTTTTTTTTCATACTGGCCCCCCTTGGGAATCGAACCCACAACCCTGGCGTTGCAAACGCCATGCTCTACCAACTGAGCTACATCCCTGCCGGCCATTCCCTCCCATACCCTGGACGACGCTGGGCCAATTATGCGCCGCCCCATGGGTCTCCTGGTCGCGGCCGGCTACGACAGAGCCTGGATGGAGTGGGACAGGCTAACCTTGGAGTCAGTTATATATCTTCAGAGATTATAGATCTTACACACTATGAACCCTAGTCAAGCCTTCCTCACCACTGAGCCAGGGTTAAAGACCCTACCTGAAAGCATATCCCCATTGGTCCACATAAACTCAAGTCTCTCTTTTGACCTGTAACTGACTCCAAGGTTAGCCTTTCCATAGCAGCATAAATAGAAGGGGCCACATCCTTTTCCTCTCACTCAGTATTATGGATTATTTATCCCTGAAGAAGAAACAGAGCCATTTTCCTGAGGGGGGGGGGGGGCACTGTTGCCCTGCTTCCTTTACTTTGTAGTGCTGCCACTGGGTGAGGCATAAATAACTTGACCCATTGTACAAAAGACACACACATAGACACAAATGTGTACGCACACACACGCACAGACACACGCATGCAGGCACACACACACACACACACACACTCACACACACACACACACACACACACCTTTTCTCCACACAAGCCTATTGATTGGCCAGTGTACAGAATACAGGAAATGACCCATACATCTCTTGTCTTTTGAGGTATCCCCTTTTCATCCCAATACTTACTTAATTCAGTCCTAAGCCCCCCCTGGGACACAGATAAAGGTTTCCGGGGAGTCTCAACAGTAGATACACCACATCATCCGGCCCTCTCCTCTCTGCAGTGCCCACTGCAGTACCAGCACTGGTAGTCTGAAACAGTGCCAACCCCCCATGCCCATGGGCCTGCTGTCAAAGCCTTGTCACCCGGTGAGCTTGAGCTGGCACGGAGAACACACAACACACAGTTTCAATATTGTCAAGTAGTGCTGTGTAGTGAAGCTACAGTCTCAGGATAAAGAAGGAGGATGTTTCTAGAACTATTACATTTACATTTACATTTTAGTCATTTAGCAGACGCTCTTATCCAGAGCGACTTACAGTTAGCGCATACATTATTTTATCGAACCCACAACCCTGGCGTTGCAAACACCATGCTCTACCAACTGAGCTATGACTCAAGACATTCTAATGACCCTCATTGGCTCCATTCTTTAGTATTCTAGTGCTCATCTTATTCTGTTGTGAAGTCACTGCAGAACTCACTACATCTTACACTATAGTCATTCTTATCCAGAGCAACTTACAGTAGCGAATGCATACATTTTCATACCGTTCCCCCATGGGAATCAAACCCATAACCCTGGCGTTGCAAGTGCCATGCTCTACCAACCGAGCCACACAGGACCAGTCTTTCTATAGACAACACAACGATACATCTGTACCATTACGTTGTTGTACATTTTTCTCATCAAAGACATTCAAGTTCAACTGTACTTCCTTCCCTCACAGGCTGCAGATTTATCCAGACACAGAACAATGACACTTTCAGTGGAGCTACTGATCCAGACTCAGAACAATGACACTTTCAGTGGAGCTACTGATCCAGACACAGTACAATGTCACTTTCAGTGGAGCTACTGATCCAGACACAGAACAATGTCACTTTCAGTGGAGCTACTGCCACCTATAGGAAACTGTTCATACTAAACACAACCATTCTCTTGTTCAGTCATATTCATTAACGCAACATTTTCATACCCCAAAATCCCATTTGCATGTACGTTTGTGTTCAAGCTTCATTTGCACGCACCACAAATGGTTCTACTTAGATCTGAAAACGCGCCTCATAATCCGTCTTGATTCACCATACTCTACACTGCCAAAATAATGATGTAATTACTAAGGTCCGCTACCAGATAGTATCATGATTGAGTATTGTGTTTTAGATATGAACGCTGATTTTAAAGCCCATATTTATTTTTGCCCTGCAAGAATAAAGCTGTAGTCAGGCTCTCTGACGTGAAGAGTTATTATTATTTACCCTCAAATCACCTTCTTACAGTCGATGAGCATTAGAATACTGTTTAGTCATCCCTGCTTATACCCTAGGGTTACACATTGAGAGTGAGTGAGAGATCGAGAGCGTGTGAGAGAGAGAAAGAGGATAGAGAGAGAGAGAGAGAGTGAAGAGGAGAGAGTGTGAGAGAGAGAGTGTGAAGAAGCGTGAGAATATAGAGAGAGAGAGAGAGAGACGAGAGATAGAGAGGCAAGAGAGAAGAGAGAAAGAGAGACTAGAGCTCTAGTGAGAGACTAGTCCTAGAGAGGAGCGAGAGAGACTAGTCTGTGGCGACCTAAATGCCAGAACTGGACAAGAACTGACACCCTCAGCACACAAGGGGGGACAAACCACCTACCTGGAGGTGGACAGCATTCCCTCCCCCCATATGCCCCCCCTAGACACAACTACGACAACATAACAAACAAAAACGGGTCACAACTCCTGCAGCTCTGTCTGACACTGGGCATGTACATAGTCAATGGTAGGCTTCGCGGGGACTCCTATGGTAGGTACACCTATAGCTCATCTCTTGGCAGTAGTACTGTAGACTACTTTATCACTGACCTCTACCCAGAGTCTCTCAGAGCGTTCACAGTCAGCCCACTGACACCCCTATCAGATAACAGCAAAATCACACTCTACTTGAACAGAGCTATGCTCAATCATGAGGCATCAAAGCCAAAGGAACATTAAAAAATGCTATAGATGGAAGGAAAGTAGTATGGAAATCTACCCAAAAACAATTAGGCAACAACAAATTAAATCCATTCTAGGCAATTTCCTGGACAAAATGTTTCACTGTAATAGTGAAGGTGTAAACTTGGCAGTAGAAAACCTAAACAGTATATTTGACCTCTCAGCTTCCCTAACCTAAAAATTTGAAAAAGAAAACCTAAGAAAATTAACAACAATGACAAATGGTTTGATGAAGAACGCAAAAACCTAAGAAAGAAATTGAGAAACCTATCCAACCAAAAACATAGAAGACCCAGAAAACCTGAGCCTATACCTTCACTATAGTGAATCACTAAAACAATACAGAAATACACTACGGAAAAAGAAGGAACAGCATGTCAGAAATCAGCTCAACGTGATTGAAGAATCCATAGACTCTAACCACTACTGAGAAAATTGGAACACACTAAACAAACAACAACACAAAGAGTTATCTATCCAAAATGGAGATGTATGGGTAAATCACTTCTCCAATCTTTTTGGCCCTATAACAAAGAACAAACAGCAAAAAAATATACACGATCAAATGCAAATCTTAGAATCAACTATTAAAGACTACCAGAACCCACTGGATTCTCCAATTACATTGAATGAACTACAGGACAAAATACAAACCCTCCAACCCAAAAAGGCCTGTGGTGTTGATGGTATCCTCAATGAAACGATAAAATACACAGACCACAAATTCAAATTGGCTATACTTAAACTCTTTAACATCCTCCTTAGCTCTGGCATCTTCCCCAATATTTGGAACCAAGGACTGATCACCCCAATTGTCACGTTCGTCGACTGATGAAGCGGACCAAGGCGCAGCGTGATAAGCGTACATGCTTTATTGTACTTAACACATGATCAAAACAATAAACAAACGATACGTGAAGTCCTAGGTTACAACACAAAACCTTACGGAACAAGATCCCACAAAATACTAGTGCCAAACAGGCTGCCTAAGTATGGTCCCCAATCAGAGACAACGAGCTACAGCTGTCTCTGATTGGGAACCACCCTGGCCAACATAGATATAAACGATCTAGAACAAAAGCGTAGAAAATGTAACAGAAACTCCACACCCTGGCTCAACATTTAAGAGTCCCCCGAGCCAGGGCGTGACACCAATTCAAAAAAGTGAAGACAAATCTGACCCAAATAACTACCGTGGGATATGCTTCAACAACAACCTTGGGAAAATCCTTTGCATTATCATTAACAGCAGTGAAAACAATGTATTGAGCAAATGTCAAATTGTCTTTTTACCAAATTACCGTACGACAGACCACGTATTCACCCTGCAAACCCTAATTGACAAACAAACAAACCAAAACAAAGGCAAAGTCTTCTCATGCTTTGTTGATTTGAATTTGGCATGAGGGTCTGCTATACAAATTGATGGAAAGTGATGTTGGGAGAAAAACATACGACATTATAAAATCCATGCACACAAACAACAAGTGTACGATTAAAATTGGAACAAAACACACACATTTCTTTCCACAAGGCCGTGGGGTGAGACAGGGATACAGCTTAAGCCCCACCGTCTTCAACATATACAGTGGGGAAAAAAGTATTTAGTCAGCCACCAATTGTGCATGTTCACCCACTTAAAAAGATGAGAGAGGCCTGTAATTTTCATCATAGGTACACGTCAACTATGACAGACAAAATGAGAAAAGAATATCCAGAAAATCACATTGTAGGATTTTTTATGAATTTATTTGCAAATTATGGTGGAAAATAAGTATTTGGTCAATAACAAAAGTTTCTCAATACTTTAATAATAATAATATGCCATTTAGCAGACGCTTTTATCCAAAGCGACTTACAGTCATGCGTGCATACATTTTTTGTGTATGGGTGGTCCCGGGGATCGAACCCACTACCTTGGCGTTACAAGCGCCGTGCTCTACCAGCTGAGCTACAGAGGACCACACTTTGTTATATACCCTTTGTTGGCAATGACACAGGTCAAATGTTTTCTGTAAGTCTTCACAAGGTTTTCACACACTGTTGCTGGTATTTTGGCCCATTCCTCCATGCAGATCTCCTCTAGAGCAGTGATGTTTTGGGCTGTCGCTGGGCAACACGGACTTTCAACTCCCTCCAAAGATTTTCTATGGGGTTGAGATCTGGAGACTGGCTAGGCCACTCCAGGACCTTGAAATGCTTCTTACGAAGCCACTCCTTCATTGTCATGCCGAAAGACCCAGCCACGTTTCATCTTCAATGCCCTTGCTGATGGAAGGAGGTTTTCACTCAAAATCTCACGATACATGGCCCCATTCATTCTTTCCTTTACACGAATCAGTCGTCCTGGTCCCTTTGCAGAAAAACAGCCCCAAAGCATGATGTTTCCACCCCCATGCTTCACAGTAGGTATGGTGTTCTTTGGATGCAACTCAGCATTCTTTGTCCTCCAAACACGATGAGTTGAGTTTTTACCAAAAAGTTCTATTTTGGTTTCATCTGACCATATGACATTCTCCCAATCCTCTTCTGGATCATCCAGATGCACTCTAGCAAACTTCAGACGGGCCTGGACATGTACTGGCTTAAGCAGGGGGACACGTCTGGCACTGCAGGATTTGAGTCCCTGGCGGCGTAGTGTGTTACTGATGGTAGGCTTTGTTACTTTGGTCCCAGCTCTCTGCAGGTCATTCACTAGGTCCCCCTGTGTGGTTCTGGGATTTTTGCTCACCGTTCTTGTGATCATTTTGACCCCACGGGGTGAGATCTTGCGTGGAGCCCCAGATCGAGGGAGATTATCAGTGGTCTTTTATGTCTTCCATTTCCTAATAATTGCTCCCACAGTTGATTTCTTCAAACCAAGCTGCTTACCTATTGCAGATTCAGTCTTCCCAGCCTGGTGCAGGTCTACAATTTTGTTTCTGGTGTCCTTTGACAGCTCTTTGGTCTTGGCCATAGTGGAGTTTGGAGTGTGACTGTTTGAGGTTGTGGACAGGTGTCTTTTATACTGATAACAAGTTCAAACAGGTGCCATTAATACAGGTAACGAGTGGAGGACAGAGGAGCCTCTTAAAGAAGAAGTTACAGGTCTGTGAGAGCCAGAAATCTTGCTTGTTTGTAGGTGACCAAATACTTATTTTCCACCATAATTTGCAAATAAATTCATTAAAAATCCTACAATGTGATTTTCTGGATTTTTTTTTCTCAATTTGTCTGTCATAGTTGACGTGTACCTATGATGAAAATTACAGGCCTCTCTCATCTTTTTAAGTGGGAAAACTTGCACAATTGGTGGCTGACTAAATACTTTTTTTCCCCACTGTACATCAACAAATTGGTGATGGCACTAGAACAGTCTGCAGCACCCGGCCTCACCCTACTTGAATCTGAAGTCAAATGTCTAATGTTTGCTGATGCTCTGATGCTTCTGTCTCAAACCAAGGTGGGCCTACAGCAGCACCTAGATATTCTGCACAGTTTCTGTCAGACCTGGGCCCTGACAGTAAATATCAGTAAGACAAAAATTATGGTGTTCCAAAAAAGGTCCAGTTGCCAGTACCACGAATAAAAATTCATCTAGACACCGTTGCCCTAGAGCACACAAAAAACTATACATACCTCGGCCTAAACATCAGCGCCACAGGTAACTTCCACAAAGCTGTGAACGATCTGAGAGACAAGGCAAGAAGGGCCTTCTATGCCATCAAAAGGAACATAAAATCCGACATACCAATTAGGATCTGGCTAAAAATACTTGAATCAGTTATAGAACCCATTGCCCTTTATGGTTGTGAGGTCTGGGGTCCGCTCACCAACCAAGAATTTACAAAATGGGACAAACACCAAATTTAGACTCTGCATGCAGAATTCTGCAAAAATATCCTCAGAGTACAACATAAAACACCAAATAATGCATGCAGAGCAGAATTAGGCCGATACCCGCTAATTATCAAAATCCAGAAAAGAGCCGTTAAATTCTGCAACCACCTAAAAGGAAGTGATTCCCAAACCTTCCATAACAAAGCCATCACCTACAGAGAGAAGAACCTGAAGAAGAGTCCCCTAAGCAAGCTGGTCATGGGGCTCTGTTCACAAACACAAACAGACCCCCCCAGGACAACAACAACAACACAATTAGACCCAACCAAATCATGAGAAAACAAGAAGAGAATTACTTGACACATTGGAAAGAATTAACAAAAAAACAGAACAAACTAGAATGCTATTTGGCCCTAAACAGAGAGTACACAGTGCCAGTATACCTGACCACTGTGACTGACCCAAACTTAAGGAAAGCTTTGACTATGTACAGACTCAGTGAGCATTACCTTGCTATTGAGAAAGGCCGCCATAGGCCGACCTGGCTCTCAAGAGAAGACAGGCTATGTGCACACTGCCCACAAAATGAGGCGGAAACTGAGCTCAGTGAAGAACAAACACCATTGTAAATACAACCCATATTTATGTTTATTTATTTTTCCTTTTGTAGTTTAACTATTTGCACATCGTTACAACACTGTATATAGACATAATATGACATTTGAAATGTCTTTATTATTTTGAAACATTTGTGAGTGTAATGTTTACTGTACATTTTTTATTGTTAATTTCACTTTTATTATCTATTTCACTTGCTTTGGCAATGTAAAAACATGTGTTTCCCATGCCAATAAAGCCCCTAGAATTTAATTGAGAGCGAGAGCGTGAGAGACAGAGACAGAGACAGAGACAGAGACAGAGACAGAGACAGAGAGAGAGAGAGAGAGAGAGAGAGAGAGAGAGAGAGAGAGAGAGAGAATAAATGGGTGAGGGTCATCCCTGCTCTGTCCCTATATGTCCCCACTAATGACGGTGCATGACAAATCACAGCCCGACTCGCCCGGCAACACTTAGCCGTCTTCATCCGTCACAGAGTTGACCAACTGGGCCCGAGCGTCAATCTATCAACACACTGCAATCATTGTTTACAGCTTACAACTAGGCCCTGGGCAGCAGGTCAGTGAGAAAACAATCAGTACTCACACTAGGAGACTTGTTGGCTGCAGGCAGAGGGACAGTAAAGGACCCAGTTAATGGAATTCCTGCTTAAATTATTTACTCAACCTAGAACCACAGCCAAATCCACAAACATGACCATTACAGCAGAGGGCCTGAGGGAACTAAATACCTATTGATAACATTGTGATACCCACAATGTCTAAGCAAACCTAAGCATGACTACTCATTAAATCATTTTAGAGACAGAAACATGGCTTTTACAGAGTGGCTGTGACTGTAAAAACCTGCTTCCCAGACGACATGAGGCTTCAGAATCCACAGGTAAATAAATTACTGATCAGGGTTAGACAAACACAGACTGGCCTAATAGATGGGTTGAGGAAAAACCATGTTGTGTTCTGTGGGCTTTTCCTCAAATCAGACACAGGAAATGGTGCAGCATTTTGTATAGTGTACAGGGGTATGGGCTTTAGGTGTCGGGCCTTTTACCAGACAGTGATGGGGGTCTATAAGGGACGGGCCCCAACATGCAGTGGCCCGGTTGGCTGAGGAGAGATCACCGACACAAGCCCACACTCGCCCGCCCCAGGGGGGCCACCGCTGGGAGAGAGGATAACACTAACTACATACAGTACCTGACTCCTCATTGACCATTACTACGTTGATAGTCTCGTGCAGATAGTCTCCCAGCTCCATGCACACATATACGACGCCACACCAGAGACTGGGGATCAATCCCCATGTGTTCCCTCTCCTCACCTGCTTTCTAGTCTGTCTGTCAATAACAGCATCATCACAATGTCTTTAAGTAGTGTTCTACAGAAGGTTGATTATGAGATCAACAATAATTGACATTGGACAAGCCATACAGTATACTGTACAGTAATATTGACTGAACGTGAAAGGAGTAGCCGGTTGTAATGCATTAAATTGTCCCCTTATTTAACTATATAACAATGAAATCATATATGTTTGTGTGTGTAAAAACTGATAAAAAATATTGAAAACACCCTCTAAAATTCTACTAAGTAGCCTATCATTCAAAACATCAATCATTTATGACAGCAATATACACTACCGTTCAAAAGTTTGGGGTCACTTAGAAATTCCTTGTTTTCTAAAGAAAATCAATTTTTTGGTCCATTAAAATAACATCAAATTGATCAGAAATACAGTGTAGACATTGTTAATGTTGTAAATGGCTATTGTATCTGGAAATGGCTGATTTTTTATGGAATATCTACATAGGCGTACAGAGGCCCATTATCAGCAACCATCAGTCCTGTGTTCCAATGGCATGTTGTGTTTGCTAATCCAAGTTTATCATTTTAAAAGGCTAATTGATCATTAGAAAACCCTTTTGCAATTATGTTAGCACAGCTGAAAACTGTTGTTCTGATTAAAGAAGCAATACAACTGGCCTTCTTGAGACTAGTTGAGTATCTGTAGCATCAGCATTGGCTCGTAAAACTACCTCTAACTTCCTTCATACTGGATGCAGAGACATAAAAATAATGGTATCCATGAGTTCATCTGACTCCAGGGAAGGTGATAAAGGGCTTCGTTGCCAACATCCCGAAGTATCCCTTTAAGGGATTAACTACTGTTTGTTGTCCAACAGATGGTATGTAGCAAGATTTCCTTAAAAATCCCAGAATAAAAATTCAAAAGACATATGTCATTTGAGACGGTTAAGCTTAGCATTGCCACGTACAAACATAGAGTCCTGTACAGTGTGTAACGTGATAGGCGTTGGGCAGAGGGAGGGAGGGAGGAAAGAAAGAATGGCAGGAAGCCATCGCAAGCTGGGGCATGCTGGGAGGAAGGTGCAGAGAGTGGGGCATGCTGGAGGAAAGAGTCACAACGGGAGGGAACTATAATCTTTAGAATCCCCAAACTGAAAACCAGCATGGGACAGGACTTACTGGGCTGTGAAAGTAACACTTCAAACCAGTGAGTGAGAGAGAACCTGATAGCTAGGGGATCAAAGCTGCCCCTCATGCATCAATACAGTCTATTTCTAAACCAATAGAGGGCGAGAGGAAACCACAACCTTTCACATGTGCTTATTGAACATATCCCATACAGTCCTGTATTATATCCTAAGTGTAATTGAAGGATGAAGATCCTATCATAATAGGATCCTAGATAAGGGTTTGTGATAGATGTCTGTTATGACAGGTAGGTGAAGGAGCAGCAGGGAGGAGAAGGAGCAGCAGGGAGGTGAAGGAGCAGCAGGGAGGTGAAGGAGCAGCAGGGAGGTGAAGGAGCAGCAGGGAGGAGAAGGAGCAGCAGAGAGGTGAAGGAGCAGCACGGAGGTGAAGGAGCAGCACGGATGTGAAGGAGCAGCACGGAGGTGAAGGAGCAGCAGGGAGGTGAAGGAGCAGCACGGAGGTGAAGCAGCAGCACGGAGGTGAAGGAGCAGCAGGGAGGTGAAGGAGCAGCACGGAGGTGAAGGAGCAGCAGGGAGGTGAAGGAGCAGCAGGGAGGTGAAGGAGCAGCAGGGAGGTGAAGGAGCAGCAGGGAGGTGAAGGAGCAGCAGGGAGGTGAAGGAGCAGCACGGAGGTGAAGGAGCAGCACGGAGGTGAAGGAGCAGCAGGGAGGTGAAGGAGCAGCACGGAGGGAGGAAGGAGCAGCCAGGGAGGCGCAAGGAGCAGCAGGAGGTGAAAAGGAGCAGCACGGAGGTGAAGGAGCAGCAGGGAGGTGAAGGAGCAGCAGGGAGGTGAAGGAGCAGCAGGGAGGAGAAGGAGCAGCACGGAGGTGAAGGAGCAGCAGGGAGGAGAAGGAGCAGATTTAGCAGAGGAGGCAAAGACATGCTGTAAGGATTTCAGTTTGGTACTAAAACTGAGAAATAAAAAACCATCTGGGTCAGCGTTACTGTTTAGCTCTGTTGTAACGGATGATGCTATATCTGCAGACGCTGCTCCTTACGACTGCTGCCTTGGCTGGCTGGGCATCAGCACTGCATCCAATTACAATACCAGGGCGGGCGCACGTGCGCACACACACACCGCAAGCACACGCACACCTCTCCCTGCTACTGCCATGGCAATATGAGCTGATGGGAGGTGCACAGTGCTCCCCTCAGAGCCTCCCACCCTTCCTGACAGAGAGGAAACACATATTATGGGATGCATCCCTGTTTTAGGAAGGCTGTTTTTCCTGCCTTGGTCTGGGACAGACAATATTGAACTGCATAGTTTCGTCTCATGGCCTGTCTGTGACTTGAATATGCCACACTGCACACTGACCTGTCAGATACTGTGTATGTACAGCACACAATGCAGCACTCCAAGTGTTTTAGTGTACTTCCAGCTCATACCAGGATAGCTGCAATAAAACAGTAAGCTGGGTGACTGGTTGCTATGGCAGCTGAGGTTGACTGTGGCCACACAACAACTGCATTGTTGGGTAAAGAGATCTCAAGGTAAGAATGTCACTGTACTGTTTTACAGCTGTTGTATCCTCTGCACGTGGCGAATAAACGTTGAAACTTTAAACACAACTCTGGTCACAGGGAAACCAGTAGCAGGCCAAAAGAAGGCTTCTCCAGGGTTGGTGGTTGGTTGGGCATTCCTCAGCAACAGTGAGCCATCACAGGATTGGTGGTTGGTTGGGCCTTCATTGAATGATGGTAACCTGTCCTCAGGAACAGGGAGCCATCAAACAGCTGAAATAACACTTTAAATTATTAATGAAATAATAGCGTAGTAAAAGGGGGGTGGTACTGTATGACAGGCCCCTCCCCAGTACCAATGACTAAACACTAATAAGAGTTTTGGAGAGGTCAGAGATACTGGGTTCTTTATAATCAAATCAAATCAAATTTTATTGCCCACATGCGCCGAATACAACAGGTGCAGACATTACAGTGAAATGCTTACTTACAAACCCTTAACCAACAGTGCATTTATTTTTAATAAAAAAGTAAAATAAAACAACAAAAAAAAAGTGTTGAGAAAAAAAGTTAAATAACAGTAGGGAGGCTATATATACAGGGGGGTACCGGTGCAGAGTCAATGTGCGGGGGGCACCGGCTAGTTGAGGTAGTTGAAGTAATATGTACATGTGGGTAGAGTTAAAGTGACTATGCATAAATCATTAACAGAGTAGCAGCAGCGTAAAAAGATGGGGTGGGGGGGCAGTGCAAATAGTCCGGGTAGCCATGATTAGCTGTTCAGGAGTCTTATGGCTTGGGGGTAGAAGCTGTTGAGAAGTCTTTTGGACCTAGACTTGGCACTCCGCTACCGCTTGCCGTGCGGTAGCAGAGAGAACAGTCTATGACTAGGGTGGCTGGAGTCTTTGACAATTTTGAGGGCCTTCCTCTGACACCGCCTGGTATAGAGGTCCTGGATGGCAGGAAGCTTTGCCCCAGTGATGTACTGGGCCGTACGCACTACCCTCAGTAGTGCCTTGCGGTCGGAGGCCAAGCAGTTGCCATACCATACCATCTTTTCAGTCTCCTGAGGGGGAATAGGCTTTGTCGTGCCCTCTTCACGACTGTCTTGGTGTGTTTGGACCATGATAGTTCGTTGGTGATGTGGACACCAAGTTACTTGAAGCTCTCAACCTGTTCCACTACAGCCCCGTCGATGAGAATGGGGGCGTGCTCAGTCCTCTTTTTTTTCCCTGTAGTCCACAATCATCTCCTTTGTCTTGGTCACGTTGAGGGAGAGGTTGTTATCCTGGTACCACACGGCCAGGTCTCTGACCTCCTCCCTATAGGCTGTCTCATCATTGTCGGTGATCAGGCCTACCACTGTTGTGTCGTCGGCAAACTTAATGATGGTGTTGGAGTCGTGCCTGGCCATGCAGTCATGGGTGAACAGGGAGTACAGGAGGGGACTGAGCACGCACCCCTGAGGGGCCCCCGTGTTGAGGATCAGTGTGGCAGATGTGTTGTTACCTACCCTTACCACCTGGGGGTGGCCCGTCAGGAAGTCCAGGATCCAGTTGCAGAGGGAGGTGTTTAGTCCCAGGATCCTTAGCTTAGTGATGAGCTTTGAGAGCACTATGGTGTTGAATGCTGAGCTGTAGTCAATGAATAGCATTCTCACGTAGGTGTTCCTCTTGTCCAGGTGGGAAAGGGCAGTGTGGAGTGCAATAGAGATTGCATCATCTGTGGATCTGTTGGAGCGGTATGCAAATTGGAGTGGGTCTAGGGTTTCTGGGATAATGGTGTTGATGTGAGCCATGACCAGCCTTTCAAAGCACTTCATGGCTACAGACGTCAGTGCTACGGGTCGGTAGTGATTTAGGCAGGTTATACTGCTCATCTCTGTGCTCCATGCTGGTAAGAACAAACCGTGGTGGTGAGATGTATCCCACTCCTAACACTGGGGCTCTGGTCTCCTAATACTGGGGCTCTGGTCTCCTAACACTGGGGCTCTGGTCTCCTAATACTGGGGCTCTGGTCTCCTAATACTGGGGCTCTGGTCTCCTAATACTGGGGCTCTGGTCTCCTAATACTGGGGCTCTGGTCGAGTAACACTGGAGCTCTGGTCTCCTAATACTGGGGCTCTGGTCTCCTAATACTGGGGCTCTGGTCTCCTAATACTGGGGCTCTGGTCTCCTAATACTGGGGCTCTGGTCGAGTAACACTGGGGCTCTGGTCTCCTAATACTGGGGCTCTGGTCTCCTAATACTGGGGCTCTGGTCTCCTAACACTGGGGCTCTGGTCTCCTAATACTGGGTCTCTGGTTGAGTAACACTGGGGCTCTGGTCTTAGCCCTAACACACGCCGGGACGTAAACAAAAGCAGCACGTTGGATCTACATGAGTCCTCACAACACAAAGCAAGCTAATGGGACCAGTCCCTAAGGCATACAGCATCTTACAGGCACACAGGCCATCCATAAACAGCCATCCTTTATTTACATGGTCCCGTCACAGCAGCAAAATGCAAGCACAGTGCAATCCGCTCTCGTGTAAGTCCCCTGTCAACAAAGCTGGGAAGAGACACCCAAACAAGGCCTGAGACATTGTTCCACCGTCTCAGAGCTGGACAGAGTCCACCGTCTACAGAGCTGAGACAGAGTCCACCGTCTACAGAGCTGAGACAGAGTCCACCGTCTACAGAGCTGAGACAGAGTCCACCGTCTACAGAGCTGAGACAGAGTCCACCGTCTACAGAGCTGAGACAGAGTCCACCGTCTACAGAGCTGAGACAGAGTCCACCGTCTACAGAGCTGAGACAGAGTCCACCGTCTACAGAGCTGAGACAGAGTCCACCGTCTACAGAGCTGAGACAGAGTCCACCGTCTACAGAGCTGAGACAGAGTCCACCGTCTACAGAGCGTGAGACAGAGTCCACCGTCTACAGAGCTGAGACAAGAGTCCACCGTCTACAGAGCTGAGACAGAGTCCACCGTCTACAGAGCCTGGGACAGAGTCCACCGTCTACAGAGCTGAGACAGAGTCCACCGTCTACAGAGCTGAGACAGAGTCCACCGTCTACAGAGCTGAGACAGAGTCCACCGTCGACAGAGCTGAGACAGAGTCCAGGAAGTGATTCCAGGTTTCTATCTTCAACTTACCCTATTGTTTTTTTCGCCTTTTGACTTGAACTTTCCTTTTCGACATGTCAGATAATGTAACTGACCACGCCAGTGGAGGCTGCTGAGGGGAGGACGGCTCACAATAATGGCTGGAACGGAGCAAATGGAATGGCATCAAACACATGGAAACCATGCGTTTGATGTATTTGATACCATTCCACGAATTCCGCTCCAGCCATTATCACGAGCCAGTCCTCCCCAATTAAGGTGCCACCAACCTCCTGTGGACCACGCATGCAAAGACTATCATACATAACAATGCCCCAGCAAAACACAGTCATTTCTATGTAGGCTAGGCTAGATGGTGGGAGAGCGGAAGCTGTACAGCACAATGGCCTTGTGTCAGGTTTCCAAAACAACAGTTCAATCTTTCAAGACATTTCCTCAATGGGCAACCACTTATCATAATTCCTCTAAGATCGAAAGGTTCTTAAATCTTTGCATTTTTCCTGAGTACAATAAAGACAAGGATGAAACGCCCACAACTCAACCAGGCCCAGGTCCAGCCCAAGGCCCAGACCCCAGGCCCATCCCCAGGTCCATCCCCAGGCCCAGACCCCAGGCCCAGGTCTATCCCCAGCCACAGGCCCAGATCCCAGCCCCAGGTCCAGCCCCAGGCCCAGACCCCAGGCCCAGACCCCAGGCCCATCCCCAGCCCCAGGCCCAGACCCCAGGACCAGGTCCAGCCCCAGCCACAGGTCCAGCCCCAGGCCCAGACCCCAGGCCACACCCAATCCAAATACCAGGCCAGGCAACCTGAACACGAACCACTTCCATTTCCACCCTGTCTCTGGAACAGCCTCCCACCCCTGCGGGCTAGGCCTCCCCCTCCTTCCCCTCCTCCCCGCCTAGGCCTACAGTTTCAGACTGAGGAATGTCAACAATGCAGCCAGCCTGGTGAAAAGTCATAAGAGTTGATCCCCACTGGCTACGGCAGACAGGTACCATCCAGATATGGCCAGTACGGTGCATGAGCTAAGCTAGGCTACTGCTGATAATGATAAAGAACTTTAGAATCCCATTTAATCAAACTAGCAGCAGGTACTGGGGGAGGGGGACATTATCAGAGATATGGCCTAATCTCTATTGAGGTTTCTATGATTTTGATTTGAATACAAAAACACATCTAAACTTGCCTGTTCATGACAAAGCATAGCTCTGACCTGGGATGAATACCATGACTACAGCATGCAGATAAGATACAGTCAAAAGCAACTGGCAGTGGAACACACCAACTGAGATTGGGGGGGGGGGGGGGGGGGGAACAATAACAACGCCATCACAAACGTTCACTTTCATCTTTTACTGTAGGCAGACTCCAGTCAGACGGTGGTGGAGACCTGGAATTTTAAGTAGATTCCCAAGCACACCTCAGCTTTCCTCCATCATCAGAAGACAAATATGTACCAGACCATTTTACCCTGAAAATAGTTTCGGACACATTTACTCTTTGAATGTTTTTAAAGCACATTAGTTAAATGTGTGTTATCAAATTGAACATTGACTGTAGCTATAAAGGAATTTATTGACGATTTCAAAGTGCACTCTAATCCCACTCGGTCTGCATGAGGCTAGAGCATGGAGTGAGTCTGAATGAGAGGTCAGTGACCACAGTAAGCCAGTGTTTTTCAGGACAAAAAAAAAAATGATTTAGGTGGTCGGCGTGGCAAAAGGCGTGACAGCGGATGTGGTAAGGGGCGTGGCAATGGTCCCCCATCTTTATGTTGTTTTAAGCCAATTTCCTGCAATTCTCAGAATTTTGCTATGGAGCTGAGAGAAAGTATTGCAGTGTTAAAGCTAATTTCCAGGTATTCTACATATTCTGCCATGTAGCCGAGAGAACGTTTTGTCGTTTTAAAGATAATTTCCTGCAATTCTATGCATTTTGCCACAGCTAATGCTGTCAGTGGCATATATCCATGGATGCCAAGGGAAGCCAAGCTTCCCCAGAAAATTTAAGAAGAAGAAGAAAAGAAAAAAACTAACAATAATTTATCTTTCGTCTCTGTTTTCATAATTTTCCTACAATTCGCAAGAAAGCATCTGAGCGAGCGAAACAGGCCATCTATCTGACGTTATCTGGTCAAAAAGAGTATGACATGGTTGTGCCCATAGCATTGAATGCAAGGGAAGCCAGCGAGCATTTGACCTCCCTTGATATAAAAAGTATAAAATAATAGCCAATCAGCATTGAGCTAAACTGAGTGAGCTCAACTGTGAATGGTCCTGGCACACCAAAAGAAAGTGTCAAGGGAAGCCAGTTTGGATTTGGCTTCACTCCAATCACATCACATCGAGAGCAATGTCATTGACAGAAACAACTACAATTTTTGCATCTCGTTGTGTTGTTGTCCTTCGTTGGCAAGCTAGCTAACTAGCTAATATTCGCCCTTTCCTAAATTAGCCATGGATGGAGATAGGGATTTGGACTTGTGGTTTTACTTAATTCTCCGTACTGGCCAATGATTATAACGGCGATTCTGATCCAACCATTAATTCATACATTGTGTCCCTGGCCTGAGAGGATGGAAGTTCAATATGTAGCTAGATGTAGAAGGCTAACTAGCTGGCTAATCGTTGCCCATGAAAGGAAGTTAGGCTAGCGAGCAAGCATTTTAGCCAGGTAGCCTAGGACAACAAAAACTAAAAGCGTGTACTGTATGACAGAGTCATTGACCATTTAGGCAACATGAAAGAGGAGGATGGCATTGGCGTTTCTCTACAAGTAGGGTGAGTCAACGTGTTTTTTCTACATTTACATTTACGTCATTTAGCAGACGCTCTTATCCAGAGCGACTTACAGTTAGTGAATACATATTTTTTTATACTGGCCCCCCGTGGAAATCGAACCCACAACCCTGGCGTTGCAAACGCCATGCTCTATCAACTGAGCTACATCCCTGCCGGCCATTCCCTCCCCTACCCTGGACGACGCTGGGCCAATTGTGCGCCGCCCATGAGTCTCCCGGTCGCGGCCGGCTGCGACAGAGCCTGGATTCGAACCAGGATCTCTAGTGGCACAGTTAGCACTGCGATGCAGTGCCTTAGACCACTACTTACACACACACACACACACACACACACACACACACACACACACACACACACACACACACACACACACACACACACATCAGTTCCATGGACAGTCACATGATATTTAGCTTACGTTGATTGGACTAAATTGTTTTTGGAATCTTTTAGTTGTCACTGTATTAGACTAAGCAGAGGTGATTAGATGATGTTGAAATGTTGAAGTTGAAATGGTGCTGGAATAGTGGAGGCAAATCTTTGCGATTTGAGGTAACTCTCTGGTGTTCTAAATTAATAGTTGAGTTAACATTTTTATTTACTTGCACAAACGCAGCACACACACACACACACACACACACACACACACACACACACACACACACACACACACACACACACACACACACACACACACACACACACACACACACACACAGACATCAGAACCATGGACAGCCACATCATATTTAGCTTACGTTGATTGGACTAAATCGTTTTTTGTATCTTTTAGTTGTCACTGTATTAGACTAAGCATAGGTGATTTGATGATGTTGAAATGTTGAGGTTGAAATGGTCAAATCAAATCAAATTTTATTTGCCACATGCGCCGAATACAACAGGTGTAGACATTACCATGAAATGCTTACTTACAGCCCTTAACCAACAATGCATTTATTTTTAATAAAAAAGTTAAATAACACAACAACAACAAAAAAGTGTTGAGAAAAAAAGAGCAGAAGTAAAATAAAATAACAGTAGGGAGGCTATATACAGGGGGGTACCGGTGCAGAGTCAATGTGCGGGGGCACCGGCTAGTTGAGGTAGTTGAGGTAATATGTACATGTGGGTAGAGTTAAAGTGACTATGCATAAATCATTAACAGAGTAGCAGCAGCGTAAAAAGATGGGGTGGGGGTGGGGGGGCAGTGCAAATAGTCCGGGTAGCCATGATTAGCTGTACAGGAGTCTTATGGCTTGTGGGGTAGAAGCTGTTGAGAAGCATTTTGGACCTAGACTTGGCGCTCCGGTACCGCTTGCCGTGCGATAGCAGAGAGAACAGTCTATGACTAGGGTGGCTGGAGTCTTTGACAATTTTGAGGGCCTTCCTCTGACACCGCCTGGTATAGAGGTCCTGGATGGCAGGAAGCTTGGCTCCAGTGATGTACTGGGCCGTACGCACTACCCTCTGGTCGGAGGCCGAGCAGTTGCCATACCAGGCGGTGATGCAACCAGTCAGGATGCTCTCGATGGTGCAGCTGTATAACTTTTTGAGGATCTGAGGACCCATGCCAAATCTTTTCAGTCTCCTGAGGGGGAATAGTGGTGCTGGAATAGTGGAGGAAGCTCCTGTTTTCTTTGAGACTTGCAGTAACTCTCTGTGGTTCTAAATCAATAGTTGTTTAGTGGTCCGAAAATGTTGGAAACATTAACTTGCTTGACCATGCTGTAGGTCATGTAACTGTTTGTTCCATGCAATATGTTTTGTGGTCTTCACTGTACAGATGTTGCTCTCTGGTTTTGTGATGAAACACAGGTGTGGTTGAATTTATTCTGCCACTGTCTTCTTATTGTCTCGGCCTTAGGCCTTATTTGCAAATTATGGTGGAAAATAAGTATTTGGTCACCTACAAACAAGCAAGATTTCTGGCTCTCACAGACCTGTAACTTCTTCTTTAAGAGGCTCCTCTGTCCTCCACTCGTTACCTGTATTAATGGCACCTGTTTGAACTTGTTATCAGTATAAAAGACACCTGTCCACAACCTCAAACAGTCACACTCCAAACTCCACTATGGCCAAGACCAAAGAGCTGTCAAAGGACACCAGAAACAAAATTGTAGACCTGCACCAGGCTGGAAAGACTGAATCTGCAATAGGTAAGCAGCTTGGTTTGAAGAAATCAACTGTGGGAGCAATTATTAGG